CGCATCAGGGATCGAACTCCGGATATATGCTAACATATGTGTTGTTTTCAGATAATACGTGCAAACAGCCGATACCTTAGTCTGTCGGCCACTGACTAAGTATTGATATACAGTATTATAGGGAAAAATTTGTTATTACAGTCTTATAGTTATAGCATTGATATCGACGAGTGATTAAATAATTACAATCAATGTTATAAAAAATACGACAAATTATATATATTAAAAGCAAACCTTAAATAAAATATCACAAACTATACACAAAATTTTATTAATTGCTTTTTAGACTTAATATTTTTATATTGTTTTATTTTTTATTGTATAAAATATCTGATTATTTAATATAATAATAAAAATGAGTGCTTTGCAAGAAGTATAAAATAATATTTGATTCAAATACAAATAAATTATTAACAATTAATTACTACAATAAACTAACAACAAAACAGTCTTTTTTAATATTTTATAAATAAAATGATATAAATGGTTTACTATTTAAAAAATAGTTTTAATTCAAAAGCAATTAATATGGCACTACACTTGTATATATTATAATTACAAAATTAATGTTACATTAACTTTGCAAAAATAATTTTAATTTAATATGTGATTTACTGTAATTAAATGCTTTATTGAGTAAAATAAAACACTAGATTAAAATATACCTGTATTATGTGTAATTATCTATAATAAAACTAAAAATATTTATATCTTCAAATAAAATATATAATTTTTTACTAAATTGTAATTATTAATAGATAACAACTAATACTGTATTAATATTTGTGGTTAAACTATGGCTACTATTAGACACATTTGGAGTGCATTAATGAATCACAAGTTTCACGGCTCGTATACTTCGAGACAATACTAAAATCGATTCATGAATTATGAGGTTTAGTAAACAATTAATCAATTTATTAATAAATATATAATTATAGTTTAAATTGTAATTTAAATCTTAACTTAACTAAAATAATAAAATAATAATCTATGATATTAATTCATCAAAATATTTTTTAACATTAAAAGTTATGTAATTACGTTGTAATGACTTATCTAAGTATTTATATATTATTTGGAAAATTATATTATTATTTAATTAACATATTTATTATATTAATAGATATTTAATAGGAAATTAAATCTATACATAGACTGTGAGTTTAATGTTGACATTAGTCTTAATTTTTTATATATAAAAACTTGATTTCATAAAACTATTTAAGGATATACAGTATTTTAAGATACAATTTGTAACTTAAGTGATACTAATTTTTAGATTACAAAATAGATATACAAATAAAATAATTTTTTATATATATTTAGTACAAATTGTTATTATTTTGAGATAAGAAATGATAATTTTTGTTTGTTTCAAGATCAATTAAAAATAAGTACCTAACAATGCAGTAAAGTGTACGAAAAAACTTATAAGTTTAAATATAAAACTTTGACCAAAAAATATATCATAATTAGATAATATGTTATTTTATTGTTTCAAAATTTATCGAAAATAAAATTTTTTATCTAATCAAATACATATCAAGGGTAATCAAATTAATAAATTTTGATTTATTATATTATTTTAATTAAAAACAATAATGATTAATATATATAAATTTATAGTTATTGGATAAAATTGTAATTTATATTATGAATAACTATTGATTATAATTAGTCTTATATTTAAATATTAATTAAATTTATAAATACCGTTACAACCCCATTGGTTTTGTTTTTTATAATATTAATATAATGATAACTATTATGTTTGATATGATATTAGTTGCGTAAATTTTATAATTATTACCGTTTTTAACCACAAAAAAAAATCTTATCTAAAAGTTTTAGACCAATTGAAAGCTGCCGTTTTAGTCATATCCAAAGGGTGTGTATGTAATTGTTTCGCACATATATCACACGTGAACACACCTATGAATCCAAATATGACTTTACATACAATAACCATAAACTCAGAGTTTTGGAAATTATAAAAATTTAATACATTATTAAATAATTTATTTTTTTAAATTTTATTACTTAAAATTATATTAAACAAATACCCAAAATTGACTTAAATCACATTAGACAAAAATATTTTAGTAATGTTTTCAAAAAATAATAATTAAATCACATTAATTTGGAAAATATTAGATATTATTGAGATTGATATTTTTGTTAAGCTTGGTAATGTTTTTCATAAAAAAATATATTTTAGTTTAAGCTTATTTTTTGATATAATTTTTTGAGATAAACTATTTCAATAAACTACTGATAAGATTGATTATGATATAGTATAAAAATAGCCCCATTTTGTCGATTTGTATTCAGTTGCAGTCAGTTTTATTATTAATTTCTAATTACAAAACTATTACTACTTTTAAAATAATGAATTTGAATTATATTATTAAAGCTTTTGCTTTGATTTTATTATTTCAAATAAGTCATACATCAGATCAGTGGCCAAATCATGATATTTCGACTCTTAAAATGCTTCAAATAGTCCACAGACACGGCGAGAGAACCGCTAAAGACTTTCCGCCTAACGATCCATTTGATGACAACAAGTATTGGTCCGACGGAATGGGAGATCTTACAGCTGCCGGAAAATATAGGTTATATAAATTGGGTCAATTCATACGCCAAGAGAATGCAGATTATTTGGGAGACAAATACTCGCCGCGAGAGGTCTACGCCCGAAGTGCTTACGCCGACCGATGTATCGAAAGTCTGGCCGCACTCATGGCCGGCGCATATCCGCCGCGGGCCAAAAATCAACAGTGGAATCAGGGTAATGATGCTGCTATAGGTCTGGTTTGGCAACCCATAGCTATCAATACTGTTTTAGACAAAAAAGATGATCTCGTACTCGATAGTGTAAGTTATTATTTGTATTTATATTATTTCCTATAATACTATCAATAGATTATGATAATAAGCAATTAAAATTTATTAATTTTATTGTTTAATTATAAATTAAATAAAAATTAACTTTTTTAATACTAATTGTTATAATGTTAACAATATTTTGTTAAAAGTTATTTAATTATTATTTTTTCAACAGAAAACTAAATGCAAAGCAGTGGACAAAGAGTTCGAGAAAATACATGACAGAGATCTCATCAAAGAGTTTCTCAAAGATAATCACGATTTATATAAGAAAGTAAGCAAAATCACCGGTCAAGACATTACTGATGATATCGAAGCGGCCGCCGATATGTATAAACTGCTGGAAATAGAGATCAGTAACAATATGTTCTGGAATACCAGTGACTGGTCGGTGGAAATGGAGAAGCAAATGGTGAATCAGTTACAGTTAACACAAGAGATGCAAATGAAACACGATTGGGACAGTCGGGTCATCAAGAGATTGAGAGCCGGCGGTCTCGTCAATGAGTTAACCGATAATTTCAAGAAAGTCTTGAAAGGCAAGAGAGAAGATATGAAACTATATGCCTATTCTACACATCACGAACAGGTGGGTGGGCTCATGCATGCTCTCGATGTCTACAACGATCGCAGTCCACCATACGGTGCGGCCCTTATGTTTGAGTTGCATCAGTACAAGAATAAGGGCGACAATTATTTTGTACGACTTTTCTATCATAACGAAACTGTTGTCAATACGGGAACACCATATGCCATACCACTGACCAACTGTCGCGGTCTATATGACTGTCCATTCGATGAATTTGTAGACTCAACAAAAGATTTGATTTACGATGACTTTGAAAAAGAGTGTAAAGATTAGTATAATTAGATTTTACGTAATTTTAAAACCATTGTACAGTAATTACCGCTAATGTAATTAGCATTTATTTATTACAACTAGTATTTTATATAATATAGTTTTGTTTTATATATATATTGTATATAGGGCATTTTATTATTATAAATATAATCTTTAAACAAAAAAATATGTAACATAAATTATAGTATTTATTAATTTTATATAAAATAAAATAATTATATACATTGTACTTTTGGTTATGAAAATATTATATATATATATATTTATGACCTAAAACTGTATTAAATATTATAACTATAAATCTCTAAGATTATAATAAAAGTTTGCATTATAAATGCTTATTACAGTAATAACAAAATCATTTTTTTTAAATAGAAATATTTAATACATAATAAAACCTAAATCTTAAGTCTAACTAACAAACTCTTGATATGACATTTAAAAAAATCTTTACAAAATTGCAATAATTATACGTTTAAGACAACAAAATACAATATTTTATTTTATAAAAACATTTGTTATTACTTTTAATGTATATTATTTTACACATTAGTACTTTTTATAATTGACTAAATGACGATATAATTATTAATAATCAATTATTATAACAATTTTTAAAGATTTACTTGATATTACTAAATAAACTAATGTTAATACAAACAATGCAATGTTAATCTGATTAAACTGTAATATACTGTAACTAAATTGCAATTTACTATTATGAATTGATTTACACTTATTGATTATTTTACTGTAATAGATAAAATTATTAGTACATTAGTACATTATTACATTAGTAAAATTGTGAAAACGTACTGATATAATAAATAAACTATTATAATTATTATATATATATACCGGTATATCAATATACTGTATATAAATTTCACGGATTTGATGATAAATACTATGAAATAAATAAAATATTAAATTTTTGTTACAAATATGTTTGTATTATCCGTAAATTTATAAATACAGTAATTATATCTACACAATAATTCAATTACAAAAATAATTTATCAATGTCATTTTATTAAATAATACTGCATATTTCATATTAAAAATTTTAAATAAATTAAATTGTTTAGTATTGTGTTGTACTAATCAATATTTACAATATCTTTTTTGATTTAATATAAATTATAGTGGATATCCTTGATAAGTACTTAAACACTTATTTTTTATAATTGAATTTATTATTGAATACTATTGATATATAACGAATTATCAATTCATTATTGAGTTTCATTTATTTTTAATGTACTTTTAAAAATAATTTTAGTGAATACAAATCACTAAATTCAAAACACTTTTACAATAAATAAACTAAAGTATTAAAACTTATCAATAAATCAATGTCACTCTCATATGATTTCACGGGAAAAGTAGTTTTAGTGACCGGTTCGAGCTCAGGCATCGGTGCCACTACTGTTGTACTGTTTGCCAAAGCGGGTGCTAATGTAGTGGTCACCGGACGAAACGCGGAAAATGTGTCACAAGTGGCCAAACAATGTGAAGAAATATCAATAAAAAGACTGAAACCGCTTCAAGTTGTGGCTGATGTCAGCCAAGAGAGTGAATGCAAAAAACTGTTGGATTTAACGATTAAGACTTTTGGAAAGTTAGATGTATTGGTCAACAACGCCGGCGGCGGTATATTAAGTCATATAATTGATGACAATTATATCTCATCGTATAAAAGTGTTTTTGCATCAAATCTCGATTCAATCATTTATTTGACGCACTATTCAGTACCATATTTGGAGAAAACCAAAGGAAATATCATTAATATTTCGAGCATTAGGTCCATACAAACGGTTAGTTTGAATATTATAAAAATCAGTTATTTTATTGTATTGTAGTATACAATAGTATAGTATTATAATGTATGAATCATTTATGATTAAAATAATATTGTTTTATAATCAATAGTATTATTTATTATTTAATATACAATAAAATATAATTAATTTTAATTTAAATATATATTAATAGCTATTATTGTTTAATTATATTAAAGAATCCGAAATTATCGGCTTATTGTATGTCAAAAGCGGCTATCGATATGTTCACCAAATGTATGGCCGCAGAACTCGGCTCTAAAGGAATTCGCGTTAATTCAATAAAGTATATTATTATTATATAACAATAAATATCAATTATTTTTTAATTAATTATATCTATAGTCCGGGTCCCATACGTACTGGTGCTCTCGTTAAAGCTGGCCTAACACAAGAACAGTCGGATGCAATTTGGGACAAACACGGAGAGTTAACTGCAGTCGGCATATGTGGTGAGAGTCATGATATTGGACACACTGTCATGTTCTTGGCTTCGGCTGATTCACGATTTATTTCTGGTAGTATTTGTTTTGTCGACGGCGGATGGCTGGCCAACAATGCTAACTTGTCTATTGAATAAAATACCCATTAATGTTTAGGGTAATATCCGATTCCCTCCCTCGTTTTATTATTCCAAAAATTTCTTATGTTCCCAGTGCTCACTGGGAATTCCTATGGAATCTACCACTCTATTAAACTATATAAACAACACATTATAATGTCAGAAAAACAAATATTATATTAAAATTTATTTTAAGTTGTATTGATAAATAGTTTCACTAAATTTATTGAATTAATTTTTTGTTGTTGAATAATTTAATATTTCTGCAAAATATTTAAGTTTTGGTAGTATTGGTAATATTGTAAAATATATTTTCCATTTCTAAACGATCAAAGGAGGAAAATAAATTATTTTCATTATTTTCTGGGAAAATTGGAGGAATTTTTTTAGAGAACTTCTCTCCCTTGGAATGTTCATCGAACTTCTATTAATATTTACTAATATAAAATTTGTCATTTTTGTTATAAATAAAATATCAATATATGATGTAGTATACAGTAGTATAAATAAAATTATATTAATTGTAATTTTATAAAACTAAATACTAAAATAATTTTATTTTTTAAAAAGTTGTCGAAAAAATAAAATGTTTTATTTTTAAAATCTAAATATCACTATTAAATATTTAATATTATTCATTATTAGATTAAAAAAATACAATAAATTTTTATCACAGATTATAATGACAAAAATATATCATTATTATTATTATTGTATATTATGTATAAAATTTTAAATACTGATCTAATTATACGATATTGTGATAAAATACAAAAAAAGTTTTTATTCTTAAAAGATTATTAAAAAAAAATTGTAACAATTAATATAACTTTTAATCTATCTAGAGTACCCATTATCAAATAATAACTTTATGTTTTAAGTAAATACTTAATATATTATCATCAATATTAAATGTCAAATAATCAAAATACTTTATATTCTACTTATACAAATTAAAGTAGATTATCAAAAGTTAAATTAAATAAATTAATATTATTTTTAATTTTTTAATTATACAATATCAAATATTAAAGTTATTACTAATCAAAAATAAAATAATTTAATTCAATCTATTGTATAACTACTTATAGTTTTTTTTCTTAAAAAATAGTAATATTTTTATTCAAAATAGAAGTTTTATATTTAATACATTAACTACTTATAGTAAACGCAATGTCAACCTTAATATATCTGATAATATTTATAACATTAACTGAATTTGCAATTTTATGGCCAAATCATGACATATCAACATTGAAATTGTTGCAAATAGTGAACAGACACGGAGACAGAACACCCACATTCTTTACACCCAACGATCCTTACGGAGACTCCAAGTATTGGCCGGAAGGTGTCGGCGAACTGACTACAAAAGGTAAGTATCGGATGTATAAAACGGGACAATTTATACGACAAGAATATAGCAATTATTTGGGCGATAAATACTCGCCCCGAGAGGTATACGCCAGAAGTTCAGTAGTTGATAGATGTTTGGAAAGTCTATCTACTCTATTGGCCGGCGCTTATCCACCAAAACAACTTCAATGGCAATGGAATAACGGAACCGATGCACCGTTAGGTCATTTGTGGCAACCGATACCTATACAGACATTTATGCCAAATGAAGAAGATGTAGTTTGTTGTGTAAGTTTTAATGATATAAATAAATCCATTTAAATATTTTATTTATTAAATAGTATTTTACAGTTAAAATATTGTCCGATTGTTGACATAGAAAGAGCTAAAATATTGAACCGAACGGATATAACTGAGAAAATGATTAAATATAAGGAGTTATATCAAAATATGAGTAAAATTACGAATACAACGGTTAACACTACTATTTTAGCCGCAATTATCAGTGACTCTCTCCGACTGGAAATGGATCGCAACCTTATATGGAATAAGCTATGGACTGAGGAACAGGAAAGACAAATAGCCGACCAATTATTAAACTCGGTATTAGTAGTTGTGCCGCATATTTGGGAAACACCTAACATTAAAAAGTTTACTGCCGGTGGTCTCATCAAAGAGTTGAACACAAATTTTAATAGTGTATTAAATAATACAAATTCTAGAAAAATATACGTGTATTCAACTCATGATACACAAGTACTTGCGCTCATGTATGCTATGGGTATAGCTAACGATCTTATGGTACCCTTTGGTGCGACCCTTCTCTTTGAATTACATCAAAACCCCAAAAGTCAAGACTATTTTGTGAAAGTTTTCTACAGAAATCAAACTAATATCGACACTGAAATGCCGTATCCATTGAAATGGCGGGACTGTCATCATATGACTGACTGTCCATTTAATGATTACATTAATTTTAGTGATAAATATATATTTAATGATTTCGATAAAGAATGTAAACAAGCAATTGATTATTTTCAATGAATTGTAAAAATATTGGTTCTGTTTTTTAAACTTTATAATAAATTTATATATTAAGTAACATTTTTTAATAAAATTTTTATTAGATAAATGTTTTTAATCTATTAACTATTTATAAATTTAATAATATTAGTTTTATAACAGATACATTTGTAAATACTGTATATTGTAAATATATAGTAAATATATAGTAAATATACAGTATTAATATAATATAATTAATATACAAAACAAATATATAATAAAATTTATATTTAAATGAATAACATTTATAGCAAAATTTTGTTATTATATGATCGAAAGTTATAAATATATTTTGTAAAAAATAACAAAGTGATTAAAAATGGCATTGTAAAATTGTTTAAATATAAAGTATATAATTTGCTGTAATATTGTAAAAATTATTATACAATTGAAATATTATATATATTAATAGCTTACAGGCTTATACTGTAACTATTTACATACTTTTGAATTTTATGTTTTAATTTAATTTACTTTTAAAGTTTATAAGTGCAATAGTTTTAGCTAAATTAAATTCAAGTACAAATTACATTTTTAAATGCAAAATCATTATTAAATAGCATTTTTAAAATTAATTTCATTAAACTAACAATAATAATATAAAATAATCAAAAATAAAATATAACATTGAGATAATACTTGTATAATATTAATAAAAGATACTTTAGTTCAAGAATATGTTTTTTATATCAATATATTAATATATAACATATATTATATTTAATATAATAATTGTAAATATTATTGAATTACTAATAAAAATTGTCTTAATAGTATGCTATCAAATCTAATATATGTATTGATTGTAACATTTTTGTCAACATCGGATTCAACACCTTTTTGGCCAAATCATGATATATCGACATTGAAATTATTGCAAATAGTGCACAGACATGGAGACAGAACACCCACATGGTTTACACCTAACGATCCTTACAAATATCTAAAGTATTGGCCCGAAGGTATCGGCGCACTGACCACAAAAGGCAAATATCGGATGTATAAAACGGGACAATTTATACGACAAGAATATAGTAATTATTTTGGCGATAAATACTCGCCTCGAGAGGTATTTCATTAGGAGGAAGTTCATTAGAAAACAGATGTGTGGAAAGTCTGTCCACTTTATTGGCCGGCGCTTATCCACCGAAAACACCGCAATGGCAATGGAATAACGGAACCGATGCACCGTTAGGTCATTTGTGGCAACCGATACCCATACAGACATTTATGCCTATGAAAGATGATATCGTTTTATTTGTAAGTTTAATAATATTATCTTATAATAATAATCACAATAACATAATAGCAAACTTATAACCACTTATTAAACTTATAGCAAAAATATTGTCCGGTAGTAAACAAAGAAAGATCTAAAATATTGATGCGATCGGACATTGTTAACAAATTGACTAAATATCAAGATTTATACAATTATTTAAGTAATACATTAAACGTTTCGTTTAAAAATGTGCTAAAAGTATCTGCATTTGAAATCTTTCCGTTGAGTAAAACATATGTTATTAGCGATACTCTTCACTTGGAAGTCGAACGCAACTTAATTTGGGATCAGTTATGGAGTCGACGACAACAAAGTTATATTACAAAACAGTTATTGGACTCATTTCTGTCAGTTTTACCACATTTATGGGAAACAACTAATATAAAAAAGTTTACCGCCGGTGGTCTCATCAAAGAGTTGAACACAAACTTTAATAGTGTATTGAAAAATATAAATAATAAAAAAGTTTATATTTATTCAACACATGAATTACAATTGTGGTCTCTTATGTATGCTATGGGTATAGCTAACGATCTTATGGTACCCTTTGGTGCGACCCTTCTCTTTGAATTACATCAAAACCCCAAAAGTCAAGACTATTTTGTGAAAGTTTTCTACAGAAATCAAACTAATATCGACACTGAAATGCCGTATCCATTGAAATGGCGGGACTGTCATCATATGACTGACTGTCCATTTAACGATTACATTAATTTTAGTGATAAATATTTATACAAAGATTATGACAAAGAGTGTAAATAAATTGATAATAAGTTGAAACTATTGCTAAATATTTTATTATTTAATAAAATGTTATTTTTTTAAACAATTACTTTATTACATTAAGTTATTTTTATGGCAACTTTAAATCATTATAATATCAATAATTATATTTCTTTAATGATTTTAATAATATTAATTTAATAATTATTAATAATTTTTTTATAATTGATTGCATTCTTTATCAAAGTCTTCGTAAAGAAAAGGCTTTGTTGTGTCAAAATACTTGTCGAGCGGACAGTCGGTAACTCCCATACAGTTAGTCCATTGCAACTGATGTGGCATTTCTTTGCCAATAGTGGTCTCGTTTTGATAAAATATTTTCACAAAATATCCTTTCAATGGATCAGTTGAGTAGTTGTGTCGATGCAATTCAAAGATAAGCGCTGAACCAAATGGTGGCAATTGATCATTAAATATATCCATTGCCTGCATATAGGCATTCATAGTAATGTCATGCGTGCCATAAACATATAGTTTCTTATTGTTTGTGTTATTTAAAGCGTTTTCAAAATTGTTGTTCAACTCTTTGATCAAACCTCCGGCTCTCAAACGTTTGAGAACATGACTATCAAATTCATACCTATATTTCATGAGATGTGATAAATACAATTGTTGTACAATTTTTTGCTCTTCCTCGTGAGTCCAATAATGGTCCCAATAATAATTGTGATCCATCTCTATGTCAAGTGTGCCGTGAATACCACCGGCTGTTACTATATTATCGATTGTAGTATTTGTTATATTACCGACCAAATCATACAATTGACGATTATTTGCAACAAACTCTTGAATTATAGTATTATTCATAACACGTTTTGACTCTCGTTCAGCCAAAGGGCAGCTTTTAATCTAATTATTTAATGTAATTAATGTTATAATTTACACCAAAAAAAAATCTTTAAAGCAATACAGTTGTTAAATTAAACACTGTATTTAATCACTAATTAATTATTATAATAATTATATAATTTAATTTACATACAGTATGGAGCACGAGGTCATCAATGTGTGGCATAAATGTCTCGATGGGAAACGGTTGCCAACTTTGTCCCAGTTTAGCATCGGATCCATTATTCCATTGCCATTGCTTTGTCATCGGCGGATAAGCACCGGCCAGAAAATTTGACACACTTTCTATACAACGATCCGATAGAGCACTTCTGGCGTATACCTCTCGGGGCGAGTATTGATCGCCAAAATAGTCGCCATACTCTTGGCGTATGAATTGACCGAATTTATACAACCGATACTTACCTTTTGTGGTCAGTTCACCGATACCTTCAATCCAATACTTGACATCATTGAAGGGATCGTTTTGTGAAAAACTAGTCGGAGACCTATCCCCGTGTCTGTGAACTATTTGTAATAATTTTAATGTTGATATGTCATGATTTGGCCACCGATTGGACGCTTTACTTAATATTATAACAATTGCTAATAAATAAAACTGTAATATTAATGATAGTAATTTCATAGTTATTTATTAAATGTGTTATATATATATATATATATTTTTAAAAGTAACAAATATTAATTTGATTAAATATGTTTGCATTAGCTTATAAAGGTTTTTATATGACATTTAAAAATTGATTTGATAAAATTATTTATCGATAAATTGTACTCAAAGTTTATATTATTATATAAAAATATGTTATTAATAAAAAAAAGATTATATTGATTATATTAATATAATATCAATTAAAACGTATTGTAAAAGATAAAAAATAATAATTTTACTAAAATAAAAAATTAGAACTATTAGATTTTTTTATATTAATAAGGTTACATTAATTTTAATTAATATTTTATTTAATAAAATAAATATTATTCATTAGTACAGTATAACAGTATTTATAAGTTATTTTATAACTATTCATAAATTTTATAATTTTTGTGAACTTTAAATTTTTTTCTATTAATTATTTACTTTATATAAATTAAAACATAATTAACTCAAATAAAATGATTAATTAGTAAAAACATAATATTGATTATAAGTAGAGCATAACTATATACTTGTTTGTATGAATGAGAGTTAGGTATAGCACATTCAGTATCAAAAGCACCTGGATCATATAATAATTGTGTCGTTGAATTAAAGTATTGTTTGATTGGACAGTCATATTGATTATTACAATTTGTTAATGTCATCGGATATATAACACCAGTATTAATATCGGTTGAATTTTGTATATAAACCCTAACAAAATTATTGCCATTACTCTCGTGTAGTTCAAAGAGTAGGGCGCAACCAAATGGCGGGTTATTCCAGTTAAATATGTTTAGGGCAGCCATTATGGCACCAATATTTTCTCCATGTGTTGAATAGATATATAACTTAAATTCATTAGACTTGTTGACACCTTTTTCAAAATTAAGATTTAACTCCCGAACCAAACCGCCGGCTCTCAGTCGCTGTAGTATAGGACTGTCCCAATCGTATCGATATCCCATAACACCACTCATTGACAATTGATTAACATAATTGGTCTGATTTTCCAATGTTTTGAATGCCGGCCATACCTTTCCATTTTCGGTCTCAATCTGTAGAGTATCGAATAGATCCACAGCTTTGTAGATGTTATCAATGGGTTCGCCGGCTATTTGTGTTAATGTATGATATAATTGAATGTTTTGTTTTTCAAAATCCTTAATCGGTGTCGAATTGTATATACGATTTGTCTCCTGGTCTGCAATGGGACAGTTGGTGTACTGTAACAAACATTAGTTTTTTTGTATTAAATAAAAAAATCTTTCATAATATTAATAGATTTGTTACCCCTTCGAGCACAATGTCCCGTGACTTAGGAATAAAAGTTTCAATGGGAAAGGGCTGCCATAAATGACCCAAATTGTTATCGGCGTCCCACTGCCAGTCCTTTTGCGTGGGCGGGTCAAACCCAGCTAACATCGCCGATACGCTTTCAATGCACCGGTGCGATGATGAACTTCTAACATAGAGCTTATGGACATTGATTTCCGGACCCAGGAATGAGTCGTACTCTTTACGATAGTATTGACCTAATCTATACATACGAGTCTTGCCTTTACTGGTTAGCTCACCGAAACCATTTGGCCAGTCGTTTAGATTATGAAACGGGTCATTCTTTTTCCAATAATTTGGTGCCCTATCTCCGTGTCGGTGCACTATTTGAACCAATTTTAGTGTCGATAAGTCGTGATCTGTGGCTAAACATATTGTCATCAATGAAAATGTTATAATAAGTAAGATATTCATAATTATTAATTAATTATTTAAAACTATATCAAAATAAAGTTTTTTTTATAATAAAATAGTAACTTTTAACTGATAATATTGTTTTTACTTTGTATTAGTTAGCGCATAATCACTAATTTTATATATTTGTTTATTAAGTGATAAGTGACACCTAATGAGAGCTGTTAAGACATCAATCAATAGCTCATCTCAAGTGTCGACCCCAGTAGTCAATAAGGAGTTTCATTTTTATGGATCTCCTATAAAGATCCCCATGTTTTTTATTGATTTAAAATGATTTTTATCAAACCTTCAAGTTATTATTATTATAAAAATTAACCTTATTGGAAAATAAATATTAAAAACTATATGACATGACAACAAAATTAAATTAATAAAACATTAGTTTGTAATACTATATAATAAATAAAATGATGTCAATTATGCACAGTAGGAGTCAAGTTTTGAATATCAATTTTTGAAGCATTTATTTATTAAATAATTGATTAAAATAAGTGCATTAAAAGACCAATGGGTTGAACGACAAAAATATATACTGAAAAAAGATTATTAGTTTTGATAATAATCATAACAAGAGTCTAAAAATACTTTTAATTATGGATCTTATTCTATGTTTAGAATAGGTTTAAAAATATATAAATAGTGGGAAAATAGTGGGAAAGTATCATAAAAATATATTAACTAATAATTTAAAAACATTTTGATTATAAAAATCATTATGATATTCAAAATGAACTTAATTTTCTTAAACATCTGTCTATTTGTTGAATATTTGTCATTAAGTGAGGCATCGATTCAGTGGCCAAATCACGACATTTCAACACTCAAACTGTTGCAAGTGATCCATAAACACGGGGAACGATCACCTATGAGTTGGACACCCAATGATCCCTATCATGACATCAAGTATTGGCCGGAAGGCTTGGGTGAGTTGACTGCCAAAGGCAAGTATCAGATGTATAAAATCGGACAATTTATACGCAACGAGTATAAGACATATTTCGGAGACAACATATCGCCGCGGGATGTCTACGCCCGAAGTGCCGCTTCAAGTCGTAGCTCTGAGAGCTGTTCGGCATTATTAGCCGGTGCTTTCCCACCGACACAACAACAATGGCAATGGGATGTCGGCAATGATACCCAATTAGCTCATGTTTGGCAACCCATTGCCATCGAAACATTTCTTCCCGAGAAAGATGATTTGGTCTGCAATGAGGTATTAATTTTTAATATAATTTATTCCACATTTAAATTAAATTATTATATAAATCAAATAAAGTTTCAATGGTATAATAATATCTGATGAAATATAATTAAAAAAAACATTCAGATTTTACTCAATTGAAGCTTTAGTTGAATAAGGATTTTATTGCATCAAAATTGAAATAAAAAATAACTGAAATATATATAATTAATATATATTATAATAATAAATGTATTTTTCAGGCGAGACATTGTAAGGCCGTAAACGACGAAACGACCCGTATTTACAGTCAGTCAGTGGTCAAGGAATTTGAGGCTAAATATAAGGATTTATACGATAAACTAACAAAAGGTGTCGGATCTAAAATAGACGACATTTGGTCTGCATTTGACTTATACGACACACTCAGTGCTGAATTGGATAACAATTACTTCTGGGATAAGACATGGACTAAGAATGAAGAAACAGATTTTGTCAAACAATTGTATTACTCGGCACTAAACGGTCAGAAATGGGATTATGACAGTCCAATCATTAAACAGTTAAGAACCGGTGGATTAGTCAATGAAACTAATGGTAACTTTCAGAAAGTGGTCGACAATAAAAACACCAAAAAAATCTATATATACTCGACATATGGCGCACACGTCAGCGCTCTGATGCAGGCATTGAATGTCTTCGACGACGTTATACCACCAAATGGTGCGACACTTCTGTTTGAATTACACACAAAAGACAAGTCATCCGATTATTTCGTGAGAATCTTCTATCTGAACTCGGGTTCACCACAACCGGGAACTCCCGTTCCTTTGATTTTTAAGGACTGCAATAACCAAACCGATTGTAAACTTGAAAAATACTTTCAATCAAACCAACACTTACTATTCAAAGAGTCCCAATTTGACACACTTTGCAAAAATTAAAAATAGTTTCAGTTTTTTTTATTGAATCTATTTCTACGATAATTGTGATTAAAAATATTTGACAGAAAATCCATAGATTAGTTTTATTTAATAAAATTAAAATCAAAGAATTTAATTATTTAAATGTATTTTATTTATTTTATGTAAATAAATACAAATAAAATTATCTATAATTTAAAGCATTCAATTAGATGTAATTATTAAATATTAATAAAATGTTAATTTTTAAATATTGATATAAAAATATTTAATTTACAGAATAATGTAAGTTGCAGTATAGTGCCAGTAAAGTGGTTAGTTTGGGTGAATGAGACGGTAGAAAATGTTTGTGTGGGTTGGGAGGTGTTTGGGTCAAATAAKTTTTCTACTATCTGTTTATAATTTAAGCCTAAAATTTTTCCAATTTTCCTAAGTTTTATATACTGTATAACTTGAAACTCTAGATAACATAGATGTCGGCAGTGGTCTTGAATTAATACTTTTAATATTATTGGCAATAATTTTATGTCAATCTTTAATATACAGTATTAGACATAAACAATATGTTTAATTGATAGTAATTTATTGTATTATAYATTTAGTATACATATTATTTATTAGATAATATGTATTAAAGGTGTAAAACAGGATYTTGGTCTTGTACAGGACAGGACAGGACAGGACAGGACAGGACAGGACAGGACAGGACAGGACAGGACAGGACAGGACAGGATAAGACGGGTTTTTAAATGAACAGTATAGGACAGGCTGAACAAGATTTATGTTAGACAGTAACCGGACGGGAAAAAAGACGAAAATAATTWACTTTATTTATGTCTATAAAAACACTCGAATTAAAATATTATATATAATACATATTTATTTTCTGATATACTTTGTATAATATTATAAAATTATTATATATTTTAATATTAAGTACAATAATCTGAGTGTATGTTATATATTATAAACATTGATATGATTTAACAGGTCTTGCAAGACGGGACAAAACGGGACAAAACGACTTTTTTGTTTATAATACAGGACAGGATTTTCGGCTCAACTGATATCACTAATATATACAGTATTGTATGAATATTTATTTTAAGTTATTAGATATTTATATATTTTTATTAGATTTATGCAATTAAATATTAATATTAAAGTTTAGTATAATAATATTAATGTATTTAATTAATATTATTTGTTATTTACTGGCAATTTTGGTACAGTATTACAAAAATACAGTAAATTCATGTTATTATTATTGAATACATTGGAAATAATTAATGATATACAATATTAAATAAATATATCCAATTGAATAAAATTAATTTTTATAACAGTTTCATGAMACTAATTATTAATACAGTATTAAAGCATAAATTTATAGAAAGCTATAATARAAATAATTACGAAACATAATAAAAATTAATAATARAATTATTATTTTTATATTCATTTTAATAAAAATGTTATTAAAATTGTTTGAATCACTTATTAAAAAAAGATGTTTATCAAAGCAAATACTCTCACAAAACATATAACTAAAAATTGATTAAATATAAAACAGTATTCAATAATGTTTAATATTTGTTATCAATAACCTTTGATTGTTTAATATTAATCCATAAYTTTATCAAAATAATTATCGATAAAAATATCGTATATAAAACTAATCGCATATTAATACCTGACATCTAATTTATAATAGGGTTTGAAATAAATGTGATACAAATAATTGCTAAACATTTGTATTGAAAAATGAAAACAATTGCAATATGTTTAGTGATTGTCTGTTTTGTGACCGCAGAGAACGGGAACAAGAAATGGCCAAATCATGACATTTCTACACTAAAACTGTTGCAATTAGTTCACAGACACGCAGATAGAAGTCCGCTATCGTTTGCACCGAAAGATCCTTATAAAGATATAACTAAATACTGGGGACAGGGATTTGGAGAGTTGACTAATAAAGGCAAATATCGTATGTATAAATGGGGACAATGGATCAGAGAGGAATATAATGACTACTTCGGCGATAAATACTCGCCCCGAGAGGTATACGTCAGAAGTTCATTAACTGAGAGATGTATTGAGAGTACATCCAGTTTATTAGCCGGTGCTTATCCACCCAACCAAAAGGCCTGGCAGTGGAATATTGGATCGGATGCACCACTCGGTAATGTTTGGCAACCATTTCCTATCGAAACTTTTATGCCACACAGCGCTGACTTAGTTTGCAATGAGGTATATAATAATTATACTTARATTATCTAATTATTATAAATTAATTGAAATATAAACTATTTATTAAAGGAAAAACACTGTCCTATAGTTGATAAAGAAAGAAGTAAAATATATGAGAGAACTGAAGTCAAACAGTTTGTTGAGAAAAACAAGGAATTGTATAGAAATGTTAGTCAGGCCACGGGTTGGTCCATAAAAGATATCGGTAGTGCTTCCGCAGCTCACGATGAACTGTATATTGAATACGATGTCAACTATGTCTGGAATAAGACGTGGACTAAGGATGAAGAAAAACGTTATATCAGTCAACTGCTTCAGTCACATGCTATGCAGTATCAGTTGGATTGGGACAGTCCTATCATTAAACGACTCAGAGGTGGTGGTCTCGTCAAAGAATTGAATAACAATTTCCAGAAAGTCATGGATAATAAAAATAATAAAAAATTATACATCTATTCCACTCACGACAGTGTTTTGGGTGCCGTTATGAACGCACTAAACATATGGACCGGCGGACAGATACCAACATTTGGTTCAACCATTTTGTTTGAATTACATCAGAAAAACGATACCAAAGATTATTTTGTAAGAGTATTATATCAGAATCAGACCGGTTTTAATACAGACCCACCACATCACCTGCAATGGGGTGACTGTAAGTCACAATATGACTGTCCATACAATGACTACATTGAGTCCACTAAACATTTACATTATAGTGACTTCGATCATGAATGCAAACAATCAATAGATATTATTGAATAAAAATTAATTAATTAGAGAAATATTATTATAAAAATAATAAAATTATTATTTCTAAAACAAATATTGTAATAAATATTACTTTTCTATTTTAGAATTTTAATTAGTGTTTTATTAATAATTTTTAAAAATATACTTAAATAAATGAAAACATTGAAAATAATAAGTTATATTATTTATTAAAATATAATCAATCATTGTTATTGATAATGATTAATCATCAAACTGTTCATATAAAAAATATATAATTGCTATTTGTCAAAAAATTATCAAAAAGGATATACAGTTATACTAATAATATACAATTTTATCACTAATTCTTAATTTATATCATTAATATACACAATTTGTATTATAAAGAAATATTCCCATTAAAAATCATTAAATAAAATAGCAAATAAATTCAAACTTAAAAATTTAATTAAAACTATAAATAATCAAAGGCTGCTAATCTTCAAATTATTAGATAAAAGTAATTATATAAATATGTTATATTTAAACAAGAATATAATTAAAAAGCAGTATTAACTTGTATTAAAAATGAAATCTATTTTTCTACTAATTTTATGGTGTTTTACTACAGTATGTGAATTACAAAAGTGGCCAAACAATGACACTTATACACTAAAACTGTTGCAATTAGTTGGCAGACACGCACCAAAAGATCCTTATAAATAAATATAACTATTTTTTGGAAACAGGGATATGGCGACTGACCAATAAAAGCAAATATCATATGTATAAATGGTGACAATGGATCAGATATGACTATAATGATTATTTTGGTGAGAAATACTCGCCCGAGAGGTATACGTCAGAAGTTGATTAACTGAAAGATGTATTGAGAGTACGTCCAGTTTGTTGACCGGTGTTTATCCACCAAAACAAAAGGACTGGAGTTGGAATATTGGATCGGATCCACCACTCGGTAGTGTTTTTCAACCATTTCCTATCGAAACATTTATGCCTCACAATGACGATCTCATTTGCAAACAAGTATTACAATATAAATATTGTAATAATTAAATATTTTTGATTAAATAATCATTTCTTATGATAAATTCTGTCCAATTGTGACCAAAGAAATATCTAAAATATATACGAACTGAAGTTAAACTTTAGTTTATCTAAAAAATATTTTTTTAAATATTTTAGTTAAAAGATTTTATAATATATTCAATAGTAATTCTCATTTATAAATATTTTGATTTTGCATTGATTATGCAAATATTTTATGAATTAAATTTATTTTAAAAATATAGTTGTGTATATTTATGTAATATTAATAATAATAATAGTATTCATATTTACAAATAATTTCTTGACATTGAATAAAAATTTAAAAATAATAAAATTAAGGAATATATTAACTATAACTTTGAATAAAATATTTAAGTATAAATTAATTTTAATATATTTAATTCATTAAAAATTAATTTTCTGTGTTTGTTTTCTTACAATATTATATTTTATTATATTTTTACATTTTAAAATAATATTTTAATCTAAAAATATTTAATTTATTTTATCATATTTTATGATACATATCATAATTTAGGTTATGTTCGGATAAATTCGTGACATTTAGCAACTCTGGACATACATATAAAGATATTGCGGCAGAAAAAAATAAAGCCAAACAAATATTTAGCTAAAAATAAATAAAAATTTAAAACTTGTGCACGAATTGTCATCAGATTGTCCATTGATGTCCACACATACATACATACAGTACATACATATATATACAAACACAATATATACATATATGAACCAAACAGTTTTGACCATTTGTTATGTGAGATGACTAACAAAAATATGTAAAGAAAAATCTTATAATAAATTTGAAATCCTATGAAAGTAAGTGAATGAATGAAATGTGTGTTTGTATGTATGTATGAGACTTCTTATATGATATAACTTATATAATGCACATAATAATAGCGACACTGAATATTAGTCTCACGTATTTGGGAACGAGAGATATAGCCCAGTGCTCCGGTAGTCTTATAACTCAATGTTATAGACAGTACCAGAGCTCAGTATATTTGTTGAACTTTTATTCCAATCATTTATTGAAAGTTTTTGGTTGTCTTGTGCTCTCCAGTGGTTATCTCTAAGGATGTGCCCGAAAGCCCCCCAAAGAGATCCTACAATAGACTGTATTGCCGACGGATAACTAAAAGACATTTACTCTATAATATGCTTTATAATAATAATATCAGAAATTCATATGATATGGTAACAGTAAACATACCGGTCCTCAAATATACAATATATAAATTAAATTAATTATTGTTAACATATTATATATATATATACATATATATAAATATAATATATAAAATATAATTTTAGTTCTTTATGCTATGAACTCATAACATAAATAAAATGTATGTTTTATTATTATTTTTTATAAAAGTTATATTTTGTTGGTTTTCTGTTTCTTAGATAAAAACATCTAATTTAATTTCACTATAATTTATTTTATTTTATTTTTTGTATTTAACTTAATGTAATTTAATTTTTTTAGTATTAAATTGAATACATCGTTTTTGGTCTGTATTACATTAAAATTATTTTTATTTGTTGTGTTTTAAAATAAAGCACACAACAAATAAAATATAATATGATTATTATTATCTACATTTACAATCAAATATTATTATTATTATTATAATTTATTAATAATTTTTTAGATAAACCAAATAAATGACTAACTTTTAAATCATTTTGTTTACAGACATACCGGTGCTATTTTTGTCAATCCTATTGACCTTATCATTGATTTCATATTCTTAGCACTCGTTTGTTATTCACATCCGAGACTTTACTAATATTTGTATTGTGCTCTCACTATAAGTTATAGTCTATAACTTTTATGTATGATATACTGTATATATACAGTATAGTACTATAAATAAATAGCAATATATATATATATGAGGAAAATTGAATCCACGACTGACTTCACATATTTGGCCTAATATTTAATGTAACTCTCAGTCCAGTCAGTGATTGTCATTCCCGAGTCGTTTGGCCAAAGAGTTTCTGGTGTTTTTGGGTACAACTAACAGCAAATACCAGTTATATATAAGTTATATGGCATTGTGTTTAGGGACTGGGGATGTAAAGCCTCAGAGCAGCTATGAGTGAATTTGTTGGCCATAAGAAATATTGGATGCAATTCCCAAATGACTTCTCTGGACGCAGAAGTTTAGGTAATAGTTGTGTGAATTAGATATACGTATCTATCAATTGATGAGAAAGAAAGGATAGAAATGTTAGACCATTGGACTGACTGTCCGTTTATTTAACCAATAATACAGTGAATGTCTTGGATTGAGTTTACGTTCAATGAAAACATAAAATGCAATTTCAGATTAGATATCACTGTTTGCCATACCATACGCCACTATACACACACATTATCCGGTTGTTAATCACCATTTGTATAACAAAACAAATAATTATTTAAAACATTCAATTAAAAGTATGATTAAAAATAACAAATATTAAAAAAATTATAATCATAATATTAATGACATCATTGTGTTCAATTTATATTGTTATCAAAAATAAAATTTATTATATTTGTTATTTCCAGTAAAGAATTATATTAATATAATTTGATAATTTTAATTTTATCTTAAAATAACATGTGTTATTTTTTAAACAAATATTTATAATAGTTAAACTATAATTTCAGTTGATTAAAAATGAAAATATTTAATTGAAAATATAATTTTATTTATAAAAACAATTAAATTTCTCATAAAATTGAGTTTTAAATTATAACATGAATCAATGTTTTATTATAACATTTATCATTATTTTTTTATTGATATTAATTATTTAATTTTATTTAAGAAGTCAAACAAAATGTGCTTAATTTATAATATTGTATTATAAAATTGACAATTTTACTTTAAAATTTAAATTAAATAAATCTATCATAAATGATTTTTATAAATGTTATAATGAAAATTTGTTTTATTGTTAAAAGAATATAATAACTATTGTTTTATATTGTAATTTCTATATTATTATTATTAAAATAAAAGCACTTAAATTTTAGAAAAAAAAAGAAAAGAAAAATAATACAAAAATGTTTCTACATTTAATGCAAATGGGAATTAAAAATGAAGTGAAAATAAAAATACAAAAACAAAAGTCATTGATATTAATTTGCTGTCAAAGCAATTGTGACACTAATCATAACATATTATTATTCACTCACTTATATAACGGGTAATCTCTCACTGAAATAAAAAACAAAACGCTTTTTGTCTCAATTTATTTGTTTTTAGTCAATCATTTAACTATAGAAAAGTCAATTTTTTCAAATCACAGTGTATTCACTAACATAGAGACATAAATACTGTACAGTATATATATATATATATATATATATACAGTATATTATCTGTGATTTGTTTGCTATTATTAAGACGAGGTTTGGTGTCAATCGGTTTGCACTTTACTTTCACTTTCAGCCGTTTGACTCCCGCTATGGACCCACTATTTCATTGGCACCGTTTGTATGAATTATTTAACACTTTATTGATTCAAATGATGTTTGATTTTTTGTAGTTTTGTAGCGCCAATATTATGCTAGACTTTCTCTAAATAATAAACTACTACTACTACTTGTGTATACATCTATATATATATATATAATAATAATAGAGTTTTTTATTTCTTTTTCTTTAAATTTTTCAATCCTTAAACCCTAAGAAAATCAATATTAAAAAGTGTGTCGACTATGAAGTGAGACTCCAGAGAGAGTTAAGTGAAAATAAGTGAATATTTTTGTGATTTTTATTTTGCAATACATTTCTCTCAACATTTACTTTTGCATCTCTTTCTCTTTTCTACTCTATTTTACTCAACTTTACTCTCAAAAGATACTTTAAATGTAATATATTTACCGATTTTATCTCAACTCAAACTTATAGTAAGTTTAAAATCTAACGACAAAAGTATTACACAAAAATTTAAATTTTTCTTTATTTTTTTGGCAATTTTTTTAC